CGCAGGAGAAACTTATGGGATTTTCCATGATTAAATAAGTTAAACCTCAATCTAGCATCATTCACACTTTCTGCGCTAGGATGATCTACATACTTTGTTGAGTCGAAATTGGACGAAATAATATTGGAAGTCAATCATAATAGGATATATGCTTGAAAAGTCATGTTGTTAATTTTTTGACTATAATTTATATTTTTTTTTCATGAATTGTATATAAAATCTTGTCACAAATTATAGATTTGAGATGGTTCTACCTTTAAACGGCTAATAATTGTTAATTTAGACAGATTGTATATAAATATTGTATATTTTTGAAATTATTGCAACTGTGTGTAATGTTGTACACGATTTAAACGGTACTTATCTCTGATGGGTAATGCATATAAATTTTTCAACCTCACTTTCAGAATGAAAAGACTATTTAAATTAGTTTACATTCTGTAGACTGATCAGTATTCGAAGTGACTCGCATTTCTAATTATTCTGTGTCCGTGGAAACAAAACTTCTTTGCAAACCACGTTAATCAAATGTAATTTGCCAATGTCCAGTTGAACTGATTCGCATTCTTAATCGTGTAGGCAAGTGCAATGATACTGTGCATCGAAACGTTTGATTAACTGTAAAGTTTATACAGAAATCGATTTTAAACGCGGTACAATGTGAATCTTTATGAAAAGAGACATAAGTATATCGAATAATCACCTGACGAATAAAAATCTCACAAGAAACATTTTGTTTTATATGACAATTAGCAATTTTATAATTTTCTTTTTTTATTTTTTTTTTATATTGCATACGAGTCAGCTGGAATATATCATATCCACGCTTATGCATCACATGGCGAGTTCAACGGCCATTGAAAACGATTAAGAAATCTTATATTCCGGGAGTCCGGCACGTTTCTCCTCGTTCTCTCGTTTCTTTCATTTAGGCGAGCATGGTCAAGATCCGACCTTCTCCAAGGCCGATCTCTACGAAGCGTTACATTCAGACAAAGTTCATGGGTTTTCCGTTCTTTTAAGAATACCAACATGTTTCACGTGACCCAGTAGCGTGCTATAACTGTTTCCTGAGGTACTTGAGAATGTCGGAGAGTTCCACGAATAAACCGCAGAGGAATCCGTTACCCACGAAACGTTAATTTTATTGTTTTTCTTTCTAATTTAAACCATCGTTTGCGACGCGTGCCGTGAGAAAATGTCGATTTTTCTACGCGTACTTATATTCGCACGTAAATTTTATCGCGCGACTAATTAATATCTCTATCACGGTTTGACTACCGTGAAATTATGAAACCCGCAGCTACCGGGCCGTCTTATCTACCCGATCTGCGATCGAATGGAGTGGCGCGCTCTCAAAACTACTGCATCCGGACGTAGTTATTTCCCTGCGAATCAAGCCTGCGCCGCCGATCGTTCAGCATAATCGCGGAGAAATTCTGCTTGGAACAATAATTTGTGCTAAATATAGGTAGCGCGTGCTATGCGCACGTCGACGTATTACGGTCGTCCGGCTTATGTAGAGGAAGGAAAAAAAAGAGGAGGAAGAAAAAGAAGGGAAGAAACGGATTCTCGAGTTTCTTGCTCTGCTCTCGCCGTGGTCCCAGCTTGAGGACGCCACCGATGATGATGATGATGACGATCCGCATGATAATGATGATGATGATAATGATGATGGCTAGCAGCGCGGTTCCTGAAGCCGCTGCAACCGGTAGAGGTGCCGAGATGGCT